CTCGTTCTTTCGCCATTTCCCCACTATACAGCGCCCTACTAGCATTTTAGGCTAAGTAGGAAACCATCGTGCCAACTGCCTTTAATGCACAAAAATGCTACCGTGCGCGCATTTTTTGATGGCAAAAGCAAACAATACTTTTCAGCCACACTGTTCATGATTATATATGCTTCAAGCCACTTGTAAAATGCACAACTGACAGAAATGAGCTTAACTAATTATTTGACAAATACACAGGGAATGCTGCTTACGGAACAGATCGCCCACTTTAAAACTTACACATAAACTATACACTGGACATTTGACTTTGTTCATCGCGGCTCGTACAAATTTCGTGAGAATACAGTCCACCGGGATTTCCGGAGTACACCGAGCAGGCAAGGCCGTATTTTGGTACAACTCGTCCGGCTGCTGAACCGGTCGCTGCCACCGCTTGTACAACCACAGTCGAGACTATAAAATTCAATGTATCATGAGGGTCACAAGTCATAAAATACAGTTTGGACTCAGGCGATACCCGAGGAGCAATAAGATGAACGCAAAACAAGTGCAAATTCACCTCCGCGTGATTGAGCACTGTAGCAACGTAATCAACGTGTCGTCTAACGTTAGCCACATTCTTTCGCAAACGACGACCGGGCCCATCGCTCATCATCATAACATCCATCTGTTGGAGCTGGACCTAGAAATTGTTTCACGAGCCCAGGGCTAATTTTGTTCAGTAAACAATACTGTAGTATAGAAAATAACTATGCCCCCAATCTGTTTTTCATGGGAAAGCCGGAAGTTGAAGGTTGAAAATACACTGAAGTTCAAGACTGAACAGGGTCGCACTGGAGGCAACAAGGAAGAGGTGAAGTATTAGCATAACACCCGCTTTTTATGAACCACAGCTACATGCCCCATCAAGGATAAGCAACCCAGACAGAAAAAAAAACTACGAAGACAGTTCGCGCGCTAAATGGACTCGTAGGCGTTGTTCTTTGTTCAAGCAGTCTGGCTCACAGTTCACAAAATATCCCACTTTCGGTTTCACAGGACGTCTTAGGGCACATGTCAACCGGGAAACTTCTTCCCTCCTTCCTTCTCTGATCCCTCCTCCTCTACCTTCCCCT